GGGTTTTTTTTTTTTGGGGGGGGGGGGGAGTTTTATAATTCCAATTCCAGTTATGTATTGCATCCAAAACAGTTACATATTATGGATTACACGACTATCCGACAACTATCCATCTAAAGAAGCCAATGCAAATAAAGAGTAAGGAATTCATAAAACTTGAAAAGTGAGCTAGATAAGAGTACAAGAACCAGCCTTCCTTGTTCCTTGGCGGTTGTCCACCTAAAATACCAACCCCAAGTTCAAGGGTTCAAAGGTTGGTGGAGAGAGAAGAGCAATAATATTACAAGTAAACAGGACCGATAGACAATATGTGGTTACAAGGTCATACTTAATGCACAAGACCATCACATATACCGGGTGCAAAAGATGTAAGTGGTAGGCAGCCCTATTCCGATTTTGGAGAGATTGATTCCGAGAATCAAACCAGCGTTTTTGTTGCTTGGGTGGATGAGCACTTGGCTCTGCATTTAAAGTCCGACTTGTACCCATAAACAACCCATATTAGTTCAACATTGTTGCATTTGTGAAAAATATGAATAAATCAGGTTGTAAACAGAGTGGCTAAATGATACAGCTTGTGGATGGCATCGTAGGAAATAGTGTCAAATCCAACTCATGTATAATTTTAACTTGTTTTTGCAAGTAACATGAGATATTTGAATTGGGAAGACTTTATCTACATTTTAAAAAGACGTGGGATGTGGGGAAGGCTGCCTACCACTTATCTCTGCAGATTCCACCATTGATGGGGGATGTCCTAGGTATGACCTTTTTTGAAGAAGAAATTTAAGTGGATAACGGGCTTAACACAAAATCAGGTATTTTGGAATGGGATATGTTAAGAATACAAAAAAAAAAAAAAATGATTACCGAGAGAATAGTACAAAATATCAGAAGTAGTCCTCAAGTTTTAGAATAACCTGATGAGGCTGCAGGAAACACACTTTGTGATTGTTCTACTGGCTTCTGATGATCACTGAGCATAATAGTCTGAGGATGAAACGAAGTAGCAGATGTTTGTAGCCTTTGCTGTGCAGAACCTGATAATAAATTACCTTGCTTTTGAGCACCTAGTAACTGAGGCAACTGAATTTGCCTCGGGATCTGCTGGAATCTTTGTTGTCCTGCTGTAACTTCAGATTGTTGAAGGATGTGCAATGGATTTTGATGTGTCTGCATATTCAGCACAAGTGCTTGTGGTCCATTCATTTGCTGTTGCTGCTGCAATTCACGAGCATTAATTTGCAGACCCAATGGCTGTTGGAATGAGGTTGGCATGTTGTGCTTAAACAGTGGCGGTTGCTGCTGCTTCTCTAGAACATTTTTTTGTAGTCCATGTTCTGGTTTGAGCTGGAATGTTGATGGATTTTGTAGCTGGCCCATTTGCCATTGGTCCTCCATGGTTGTGAGAATCGGCTGCTGAGTCGATTGATGCTGAGCTGGCAGCATGTGCTGTTTCTGTTTTTCATTACTGTATCGGGTGGTGTTTGGTTGCAATAACGAGGGTTGCAAAATTGGTTGTTGAACCTTCTGGTTCACAAGCTGATGCCGCAACTGCTGGGTTTGATATGGCTGGAAAACCATCTGCTGCAAAGGCAGACTTACGGGGAGCTGCCCATGTGTATTGGGTAAAATACTTGACAGCATACCTTGTCCAGCTGAATTACAAATGGAATCAAGTGAGTATGCAGACGCAGTCTTCAAGCTAGAGCTATGGCCAGCTGCTTTTATTGTGCTTGTCGGCGTCAGACATTTTTCAGCAGATACCACCAAAAATGAGTTCACTAAGTAATGCAAAGATGCAACTTAGCTTAACTACTTTTACTTTTGTGTTATGTTGCCTTCCATTTATGTCATTTTCATATTGTTCTACTTTCCTATTACGTGATTTTCCTATTATGTTTTACTTTCCTAATATTATAATTATCTTCAATATCAATCTAGTATAAGTAAGTGATACGGTGTTGGCAACATACACCCTACGCGCCGTATTGTTTCATACTCTTTCTTCCTTTCTTCTTCTTCTCTTTCTTTACCTAAACTCTACGATACAATTATTTGAGTTTCAACTTGATATTAGAGCATGATATTTGGGTGAATGGTGCTCGNCTTTCTTCCTTTCTTCTTCTTCTCTTTCTTTACCTAAACTCTACGATACAATTATTCGAGTTTCAACTTGATATCAGAGCATGATATTTGGGTGAATGGTGCTTGGCCCTAGACGAGCACCTCACTCACCTAGTGGTTGGACTGACCCAACACACATCAAGTTATAGTCATCTGAGTATGTTCATCAGCTTTTGTGATCATTATCAGTTATTGTAGGGTGCCTGAATTTGTGTCCCTATCTTCAGCGTTTATCATCAACACAGATTTTAGTATTTCAGTTGGTTTAGTGTCGTTCAGCCTAGTTTGGTATTGGTTTGGAGGTTTTCATCATGCATCAGCATCGGTGCAATGTTTTTAGTCCAATTTAGTGTTGGTTCAATGGTTTTTGGCTCAGTTTGGTGCTGTTGTAATGGTTTTTAGCCTTAATCAATTTTAGTTCAGTTTTTTTACCTAGTTTAGTGTCGATTCAATGGCTTTCAGACCAGTTTCATGCTTGTTTAGTGGTTTTCATCCGGTTAAATTTTAGATCAATGTTTTAGCCTAGTTTAGTGTTGCTTTGGTGGTTTTTAGGTTAGTTTGGTGCTTGTTTAGTGATTTTCATCCCGGTTCAATTTTGATTCACTATTTTTGGCACAGTTTGGCGCTAGTTTAGTGGCTTTCATCCTGATTTAATTCTGNTGCTTTGGTGGTTTTTAGGTTAGTTTGGTGCTTGTTTAGTGATTTTCATCCCGGTTTAATTTTGATTCACTATTTTTGGCACAGTTTGGCGCTAGTTTAGTGGCTTTCATCCTGATTTAATTCTGGTTCAATGTTTTCAACCCAATTTAGTACCAGTTCAGTGGGTTTCGATACAGTTTGGTGTTGGTTAGTGTTTTTCAATCCCATTTTAAGTTTGGTTCAGTGTTTTCAACCGATTTAATTTTGGTTTAGTGGTTTAGTTGTTTTTTGATTCAATTTTGATTGAAATTTTCATCGTGGTTTAGTATTGGTTTAGTTGTTTTCAACACCAGTTCAACATCTTTTTGGTTGATTCAATTCTGGTTCTGCTTGGTTTACCCGATTTGCGATTAACTGCAGTTTAATTTGTTGTTGCTTGTGTTTCGTTGCGGTGTTCTTGGTTATGTTCGTTTGTGCCAGTGTTGTTGTTGGTGGTTCCAGTGTTGTTGTGTTTATCCTTTGTCGTCACCGTGTTCTTTTCGTCTTTGTTGCCGTGATTGTTGTTTGCTATGACTTATTTTGGTATGATCGTTAATTGTTTCTCTAGAGAACCAATGGGATGTTTTAGACTTCACATGGAATAACCACTTGGATTTATTGCTCATGAGGAGTATTGTGGTAGTGTATGTCGATTAACAAAGTCTTTGAATGGTCTAAAGCGATCACGTAGATCTTGGTTTTATATCATTATTGTCTACGTGGAGATATCGCAGTCAACTCAATGATTTTTTCACCAATTTGTTGACATGGTCCACCTTTAGTAGTCTTTATTCCAAGCTGGATATTGTTGATCTCTATAGCTTGAGGGGGATCGTTAAGAGTGTTATTTTCCTAGTATGTCACTTTCATATTATTCTACTTTCCTATTACATGGTTTTCCTATTATGTTCTACTTTCCTAATATTGTAATTATCTTCAATATCAATCTAATATAAATAGGTGATAGTGTGTTGGCAACACACACCTTGCCACAATATTGTTTCATACTCTTCTTCCTTTCTTCTTCTTCTCTTTCTTTCCTTAAACTCTAAGATAAAATTATTCGGGTTTCAACTAATACCATCATATAGCATCTCATGTGGTGTTTCAGATAGTCAGATAGAATTTCTGACCGAAGCCAAAACACAGAAGACGAAGTAGGAAATAATCAGAAGACATAGGACATGCCTTCTAAATAACCTATTCTTTCCAGAAAACATAGGACATGTCTGCAAACAGACAAAAAATGGCAGAATCTTCTTTAATTCAATAGAAGGGGATCCATTTGTCCATTAGTGCCTGACAAACAACATCATGTCGCAGACTGAGAGAATGTTCTAATACATTTTACTGCATCAAATATCAAGTTGAATTTTTATAACAGGGAAATCTTCAATTTGTAATATTGACCACCTCTAATAAATAAGAAAGGTCAATACTCAGCTTGAAATCAATTAATGAGGTTGCAGAGAAGGGCGAACTGAATCGAATCCTAATTTTTGGCTTTAGTTCGATACATTGGCTTCCTTTAGATTAAAAGCCTACAAGCATTCGGTTGGTAGCCTGAACATTTTACTTTCCGCCACCTTCAAAAAATGGATCATTATATAGCTTCCCAAGGATTTTATTTTCAATAATTCTAGTATTATCGTTTGTTGGTTGCTAAAACCAAATTAATAGTTCCCCAACAATGCCAAAGAACTATTGAAAACAAGATAACAAGTGCACTCTATAAATATATCCAGGGACACGCTGTAGCTGTGACTACGGGACCTCAAACTTCTGAAAACTTTAATTGAATCTGAAAATAAAGATGGGAAGATCGTCACAGAAGCAGCAAAAAAAATATGAGTGCCACAGAGAGTCGTGGAAAACTCAGAAACCATGCGCCGTCAAATGATTTCTAACAAGTAAATAATCGAATCAATTGAGACCTGATTCATTGTCTTAGTCATTTATTTCATTACCTGAATTAGATTCCATGGACGTCATTTTCTGACATATGCTGGACGTAGAATCTGACTGAATACAGATAACGTAAACAAATTAGTACCTACCACTGAAAGCCATAATATAATGAACATGCTATCTATAGGAACAATAAATATCTCTGATATGAAACTGAAATTGATATTGCATTATTTGTTGGTAGGCATTGCAGAGTTTAGAAATGCACAGTACTCCAGGTATCGTTTTCAATTTTTCATAGGTAAGGGGAAATAAACAACTCAGCGACACATGCAGAAATTCAGTGAATTAATTACTCTTCCCTAAGGTGTTTGTGCATTACTCTTAATTATATACCTAATTTTTTAGTTCTGATGCAAAAACTTACAGAAAAGTGTAAAATTCATTGCTATCAGCCAAGAAGGATATGAAATACAAGAAATACTTAGCCACAGTTTATTACATACACTTCGCAGCACGGTATAGAATTCATAGAATCCGTTTCATCTTATTTTCCTTATACGTTGGTGGCATTATGGGCTTTGGTGAGCTTGTTAGGGTGAAGCTAGAATGAAATATTTATAACTAAATACACTAATCACCCATAGGCAATTCTTTTTTTCTTAACTTTGTGTGTGTGTGTGTGTTGGTGGGGTTGGGGTGCTGGTACATTTGGGGCACTCTACTGGTCCCCAGTGCCATGTATTCATTCCCACTGTAGGCATTCAATTATCTGGATGACCGGCATTCATTAATCCCTCATTTGAATTTCAAAGAGCTCTTGTGATAAAGATTCATTCAATTTACAGGTCTAAACTCAAGTGCGAAACGCCTTTCCCATCTATTTGAGGTTTGTTGCAGAAATTTTGTGCAACCATTCATTTACATTTTGGTACACTCTGCTTAAAAACAGACTAAGATCTTGTTCTAATTATCTCAGCCCACGTCCTTTATGTTACTCCTGCAATTATTGCAGCACCCTCAATCTACTGTGTCCCTCTTCAACTGCACAATTACAACTCTTATCTACACATGGTAGACAATCATACCCAAAGGTAAGGCTACACTGAAGTAAGTGAAAAGAGTCTGAGCGAGGGTTGAATAGGACTATGTAATATTCTTGTGAATTTCCACTACCTTGACTCTTTTACGTCACCGTGGCGGTGATCACCAATCCAAAGATAGTTTGGTCATTTGATGCATTTCACTCATTAGTTGTGTTAAAGATGAGTTTTCTGAACTTGTGATGTCCAAAATTACCAAAGGTTGGCTCGGGTGAATCAGCTAAACTGTTATGCAAGTGCAATCACCCCCCCTACTGCTAAGCAACTGTTTATGCATACAATGATTTTCTCATTTCCTCTAACAGCGTAGTGGCAGCATCCTTATGCTTCCTGGCAGCCTCAAAGCTAAACTCCGAGACTCCTTTGTCTCACCAATCCAAAAGTTGTGGCAATCATGTCTGCCGAAAGCGTACATTTTCTTCCATTTACTGTGCTATCAAATTGACACTTTTTAGGGGGCAGAAAAGTGGAGCAGAAGATGTGAACCATCTTCTGGCTAGCTGATCCCTCAAGTTCTACTCAGATGAGACTGCTAAACCATAATGGTTCCATATATTCCAACACTACACTTCTATCAACTTGGACCTTTCTATTGGAGATACAATCAGTGCATGCATTAATACAAGTGGTGTCCACAAAATACAAAAACATCTAAGACAACGGCAATTTTGTAGCTTCTAAACTGTGTAGGCAAAGACAGCTTATAGAATCCCTAAATGTCTATTACGGATGAATATTCTACAATATCTAATTTGAACAGTCCTACAGGCCATTCAGAATGGGTCTTTTCTAGGTTAGGTTTTTGGGGGCTGGAATTTGGGTTGGGGTGTG